TGACAACCATGACGTGGACACGTACCTTGGGTATTGCGAAGTCTAAGTTTCGACGACCAATCGACTCTATTTTCGAACTCCGGTTTTTCTGGCTAGCTAATGAGGAAAAGCAATCTAGGAATGACCACATCGGTCTCCGCTGTTGTCTGCATCGTGAACAACGGTCCATTAATGATCCCTCAAATGGCAGCGAGAGGAAGTTAGGAGGCTTAAGGTAAAACACAGTCAAAGAGGACACATAGGCGATAAGGGACACTGCACCAATGATCAAATGTCACCTACCTGGTTATTCTCAAAGATTAATAAAGTGGCAGTGTCCATCAACGGACGCAGGAGGTAGGTGCATCGCTTCACCACATCGAGAGGCAAATCTTCCAGACGCTGCTGCAAACACTTCATCTCCTGGCGCTGTTCCTCCTCCACTGGGAGCAAAACTTGAGTCCCATCACGGCGGCCGCCACCCGTCGACGGATTTGTCTCATCCTGCGGACCGTCACCACCGTGAATACGACAGTATACGCCGCAGGTCCAGGCCTCATCGTGACCACAGGCGCAGATGCCCCAAGAACATGGGACAAACTAAATATCACATGCAGAGAGGCGAACAGGTCCAAGACGCACAAGGTTGCTTTATCCGCAAACAACTATGTAGTTGTTAGCACTATTGCCAATTACAATACCTTCATCTTATAAATTGCTATGACCTATAAGATTGAATGGAGCGTGTACATGCATATAGTACTCTTTAATATTTCATACATTGATTTAAAAGAAACACGTTGCTACTTTAAAAGAAAGATCCCAGTAAGGTGATTCCTGGTTGAAATTAGAGCTCAATTTCTCACTGTAAGTATTCAAACTCTAAGTAAAAACTCATTCACCTAAGGTTAGGCATCATATGTGTTTAACATGCAACGACTGGGCTCCACTTGTGTTAGCCACTGTCTCCACAGTGAACAATTGTGGATGTGGATAGAAAGGAATAGTTAAATTCTGGGGTACATTAAGGCGGTCTGCTTCACTT